TTAGATATATTTTCATGTCAATATACATGAACTTTCCAATTCTTTTAATGACTGCATAGTATCCCATTCTATGTATACTCTAATTACAGCATCATCAATTTATGGGCATTTAGATTGAATACAGTGTTTCACTGTTATGAACAAGGCTGCAATGTCTAAATTTGCACATACCTATCTTTGCACACTGGTGCTAGTATTTCAGTAAGACACAGTCCCCAAAAGGAGAACTGCTAACAGGAACCTTCTAAACTTTTACAGATACTGTCAAATGTCCCTACAAAATGAATGAGTCAATTACAAGTGACCAACTCTTAAAAGGACTATCTTGTCACAAGTAAAATTTTAATTCAGGTTATAAGGAATTAGAATTCTTTCAAATAATAGAAATGTGCATATTATCTGAACTTAATGACTTCTCTTCAATTTCCAACAAGTTAGCCTAAGGAATATTTTTTCCTAAGTAATTTCTAACCTGTGTTCAGGTCAAACAAATATCACTTTTTCAATTTGAGGATGAGTATATTGAAAACAGAGTTGGAAATATTTATAACTGATCTATAAGAGTATTAATGAGAAAACTAGCAAATGTCACCATTTATCATTTCTCAAAGAGAGAAAATACATTAGAGCCATTAATAACTAAGTTTCCAGAGTCAGACAAACTCAATCATTCACTCCACACATATTTAGTGAACATCTACTGTGTGCCAGGCTCTGTTCTAGGTGATGAATGTATGGGTGAACAAGACAAAGAAGACCCCTCTGCTCTCATGCAATTTCCATTAGTGTCATGGAAATAATAATAAATTGATTAACTAACAGAACAATTTCAAAAAGTGATAACCAAATAGAGTATTGTAAGAAATTACTGAGGAGGAGGGTCAGGGTTCCTTCCAACTTGATGGCCAGGCAAGGCCTCTCAGAGGTGGTGACATGTAGAGTAAGGCCTAAATGACAGGATCTGTGGCAGAGAAAGAACAAAGTTCCTAATGTGGGAACAAGCTTGGCCCTTTTAGGGAATGAAAAGAAGGCTAGTGGGCCAGCCTTTGGCATCAGATGTTGTAACAGAGGATTGGGTGAGGCAATCAAGTAGGAGTTTTAGGCCATTGGGAGACATGTGCTTCTATTCCAAGCCATTAGACTGTATTAAGCGTGAGAGTGGCATGATCTACTTTATACATTAAGAGACCATTCTGGTTAATATACTGCTTGCCACTTATTAACTAAGTATCCTTGGACAAGCTACATTACCTTTCTTAGCTTCAGTTTCCTCATTTGTAAAGGTGAGATAATAAGAGTATGTATTACATAGAGTTGATATGAGGATTAAATGAGGTAATGAGTGGAAAGCATTTGTCACACTGCCTAGCATGTAATAACTGTTGCCGACATGATTTTAACTAAATCACCTTTATATCACTAAGATCATGCTGAAGAGAACTGAGCATAATTCACTATCTTCAATTACGCACCATAACTAAAAATATCCTTTAAAATTAGTCCTGTTTCAAATTTCCTAATATTGAGAGGCTGGATATTTCCTTATTGAAAAAACGCTCAGTGCCCAGCTGGGCATGGCTCAGTGGCTGAGCATCGACCTAGGATCCAGGAGACCGGGGTTCGATTCCCGGTCAGGGCACATGCCCGGGTTGCGGGCTCGATCCCCAGCCGGGGCGTGTAGGAGGCAGCCAATCAACAACGACTCTCTCATCACTGATGTTTCTATCTCTCTCCCTCTCCTTCCTCACTCTGAAATCAATAAAGACATATTTTAAAAAGAGAAAAATGTATTTTTAAAAAAAAAAAAGGAAAAAAGACTCAGCACTTTCTTCTTACCTAATCCTATAATGCAGCCCTGAACAATTTATGCATATGTGCACACCCTTACTCTCACACACTCTAGATTATACCTTTGTGTTACCCCCCCAGAGCCCAAAATGTTCAATACATCTTATAAGGAAGGCAAGCAGGTAGGTAGGTAGATGTGTGGAAAACAGACTAACAGAATGGAGAGTAAAAATCATGAAGACAAGAGAAAAGGGAGAGTTTCAAATTAAAATATTTAAAAGAATAAAGTTTTTAAATGAAGAGTATATAAAATGTATAACTGGCCATTTCTTGCCATGTGTACTATTCTGTTCTTGCATTTTCATAGTACCAGACACTATGCTGAAACCCTAACAGAGGTCACAGCCCTACCAGAAGGATGTGCTGCCTTCCAAGCTTGCTTCATCTCTTCTGAAAATATTTAGCAATACTCTGACAAACACGAAAGAGGTACTTCTCACATTTACCATAGTACCTGAAGAATTATGAGTAATAGAACCAAAATTGTGAAACCTGCTGTACTTAACTTTTGCATTTCTCATGTACTGAGATCTATTTATCAATGTGATATACGACATCAAGAAAGTTGATATGTAGAATACCAACTTCTAGGCTTTGACACAAAGATCCACAGTAGTTATGGAAACATTTATTTAGTGATCTTGCCTCTAAATATGCAAACTGTTTCTACACACTTGAAAGTGTGTAATGGATGAAAAGTATCCAAATAGAGAGGACTGTAGAAATTTAAAAAGTTAGTGATTTAATTAAATAAAACTAGCGTAAGAACAACTAGAAGCAGAAAACAATATCCTTTCGTGGAAACTATTCTGTGATATACAAAGTACTTCTCTATGCATGTCTTATTTTGATCTTCATTACATTTCTCTTAAGAAAATCTGATAGTTTATGTCTGCAGTTTATACATATGAAAAGTAACACACTAAGTAAATACTTTGACCTAACTCTCCAAATCAGTAAGTAGCAAAACCAGAACTCTAACCCAGGCCTTCTTAGTGTTCTTTCTGCTATCCCAAACTAATTCAACGTACCACAATAGTTAAATTCACTAAAACTGAGTGCATTTTTATTTCAAGAGACGGGCAAGCAAGCTTTTTATAAAATAAGTTGCAAGTAGCACTATTAAAATTCTTCCTGGAATATTATAAATCCTTTCAAACAAGACAATCATCTCTTTGTATGAGCACAATTTCCCCCTGATCATTAAAATACTACATATCCCCTAGCTCCAGCTAACAACTACAAAGCTTTCATCTCTTAAATACATATGTGCCAGGCTCTGTCAGACAGTCTCCCCACTGACTTCAATTCTTACAACAATCTTATGAGGTCAGTATTGTTATCATCATCATTGTCATCAGTGTATAGAGGAAAAAAAGGAGGCATAAAGAGTTTAAGTAACTTGTCCATGACCATTTGGCTAGAAATTGGTTCAGTGACTCTTAACAGCAACATTACGCTGCCTCTTCAAATAGAAGCCTCTTTCACCCCATTCCAACTTCTCCCATCCCTATTAGATTCAGCCAATGATAAGGGAAGAAGCTCTAATTTATATTAACGATTTAAACTCTTCATGTGCATGTCTAAGCAACATCAACTTGTCGACCAGTGACTACACTTCCCCTTCACAGCGCTGAAGACCTATATGTAAAGTGTCTGACAGAGAACCTGGTACAGCACAGGCAGGTGACAGTTACTGAGAGTCTACTATGTATCTGGCATTATGCTAAGTGCTTTTCTCTATAGATGCATAAATGTTAACATTGTTTTCTTTTTTTCTAATAGATAGGCTGGATCCAAAGCTGTTTCTTTGAAAATTAAGCTGGGCAGTGAAGAAAAGGTCCTTTCATGAAGACAAGGACTGTTATATCACTGGGTGTAGAAAGCTGTTGAACACGGGTTCTGGGGGACTGCTGTGGTTCTGGCCCTTGAGGAAACCCAAGTGCACATAAGAAAGTATGGAAGAGGAATAGCAATGAGAAGACTGAGGTAAGCTGGACCCCCACCTGCAGAGAGGCTTCCTCTCCAGGAAAAGCAACACTTAGAGCACAAATAAATTAAAACTTTGTATAAGTTCTCTCCCTGAATCCTTTTAAATATTATGCTTTCTTGACATTTTTAAAGAAAAAAATTTATAAAAGAAACCTGTATTCACACATAACTCCTGAGAAATCCACATGTTATGCAAAACAAAGTACATCAGCCTCCCCCTGCTAAAACTCCAGTTCGAAGAAATCTGATTTTAAAACAATGCGAACTCATTCATTAATTCATTGAGAACTGAGCAAGAGCTATCTCACGTAATTTGTGTTCACTGAAGTAGATATAAAAATAAAGAAGAAAATCTCCCTTCCACTGTGGAACTCAGTCTAGTACACAAAGCTGATCTCATGGAAAACAGCCATTCTTTAAAATATGGCAGTGACTACTTCCGAATTGCAGAGTGGGTTCAGATAACATAGAAGCGGTCATATGAAATACTGTGACATTGACTTAGAAAAAGCCACATCTTTTAGAAAAGGTGTGTGTGTACAGATGCATACATATATGTGTGCATTACATATACATATACTAAGAATAGAATAGAATAGAATAGAATAGAATAGAATAGAATAGAATAGAATAGAATAGAATAGAATAGAACAGAACAGAACAGAACAGAATAGAATAATAGAAAGCAAGTTCCTTTACAAAGACAAACATATCCAGCACCAGTGGGCCTCAGAGTAAGATCCTAGACATCCAGGATGTCTGCTGAATGTTGTAAATTATCCAAATAGATCCACGGCTTTCCCTCCCTAATGTTCTTCAAATTCCTAGTTGACCGATATATTACATCTAAACAAGAAAGATGGAGAGAAAGATGGACAGTAACAGAGAAGGGAAAAGGTGGGTAGTAGTGACTGTACAACCAAGGCAGAGTTCTGGGTTACACTGTGCATTCCCCGGCCAATAGGAATGATATTGATTTTCAGATTATCTGCTCTTTTATATTACTCATACCTCCTTTCCCCTCTATTAGTGAAGAGAACCCAATTGTCTGTGCATTTGCTGGATTCCACTGAGAGGCCTGAATCACCACGTGGAATATCAATCATTCTTTTAAGATTAGTCTCTACTAAAAGCCTGCAGTGAAATGATAATGCACTAACCTGTCTCCAGTTAATGGCAAAATAATGGTTGCTTGAGAAGAAAACACAATGAAAGATAATCTCATTTGAGGGCTGCAAAATAAGAAGAGAGGCAGTTAAAACATTTTTAAAAGAAATATTGATACAGTGCAGATATATAGCTAGGGAGTCTCATTTAAAATCAGTCTCACTGAATGGCCCAGGCTTCTTTTAAATGGAACTCCCTAAGCAGATACACTAACTCTGCTTAACATTACTGCACAAGTCATTCTGGACTCAGTCAGTGCTTCTCAGTACTCAAGCACTCCTCCCTCACGCATGGGGCCATTTAGAAAGAGACTAATTAGAAAGATAAATTCCAGGCCAATGTGGAACTCTTCTGTAGTAAATGCTTGATGTTCTATCTTATCTCCTTAAAGGAGACCAAACCCTGCAGAGTGATTATCTCTAGCAATATCTGGGGCTGGAGAGTAGCCAGTTTGACTTCATTACGACTATGGTATGAATTCATACGAAAGTTAACCTGAAGTAAGAGTACTGAGAGTGCCATGGACGCTGCAGAAGAGATGGACAAATCCCATTTTGATTAGGCATCTTCTCCAAGTCTCAAACATATCACATGTCCCACTGTCAAAAAGGGCCCCAATGACTGCATCTTTTAAGCTTTAGGCATCTGTATCACAAAATGGTTCTTGTTTCTAAGACACCCAGTGCAACTATTACTAGGATTGGAAACTGAAGATCAGGATGATCTCTCATACATATTTTGAAAGGCATTGTCTTCAGTAGTCACGCTATAACTTCCTACACTATACTGTTAGTAACGGAGCAACTAAACTTGAGCGACTCAACTATGTATCAGGGACTTGCAAACCGGACCAAATAAATAAGAGGCCCAACTCTTGAAAATGCTGTTTTGAAATGATCCATTGCTTTCTATCAAAATCTATGCAATACTCTCTGCACACTCTTGGATTAAATCAGAAAAAGTATAAACTGTCTCTTCTTTGACATTTAAGGACATAGGGCCCTGTTTATTTTTTTTTCTACACAGTTTCACCTCAGACCCCGTCCAGAAATGAGAGTGTTGTACTTGGCTTCTTAAACAGGAGACTGATGATTGAACATGGACAAGCATACATTTTTATAGGGATAAGTTTTCGGCTGCCAATAACTGAAAGCAAGGATTGCCTAGGCCTCTACAGATTGTTGAAGTTACTTGCAACAAGACTTTCAAAATGTTTTGATCATCCAAGCCTGTTTTTACAGACAACATTTGGGCTAACAAGACTGAAAGAAGCAATATTTAATGATACAGCTCCTTTTTGTGTCCTTTCCATTATCTTGATAAACTTGCATTTGCTCATTGCATATTTTTCTTTAAAAAAGAAAAATGAAGGGGGAAAAAGCCTCAAAGGCCTGGTGTCTTAGGGCTGTTTTTAAATAGGGATGCCACTAATTCCTAGTTACCTCTAAATAAGAGAGGAAGCTGGATTTCATAGTAGTTATGCTTTTTATAGGAGAAGAAACCAGTCTTTCCTAGGAAGGCTTATTGCATATATAGAACAGTTAAATTTTAAACCCTCCACACACCCACACATTGTATAAACACAAGTCATTTCTTTAAACATACACAGAAGTGCCTTTTCTGGTAGTGGGTTATTAACACATGTTCATTTGAAGTTTACCAACACTTTTTTTTTTTTTTAATGAGGACCTCTATGATGCTAAGAATTGTGTGGAAAGAAAAATATATTATGGATACTATTAGCATAAAAAATTTTAATGTGATAAATTATGAGAAAGCATAACTGAAATTCAAAACAGATGAAAATTCAAAAAAGGAAGAGGCATTTGGAATAGTATCTGAAGATGCTTCCCAGGGGCTGAGCCAAGTTTCTGGGATCCAGATGAAATAAGCCCTCAACAACTGACGGTCTGTCCTAACATTTCATTAAACGCTTTTCCTGCAAAAGGTTTCAAAAAAGAAGATACCCCACATCTTGGTCTACTTCCCTCCACCTCAAACTCCAGGAGCTAGAACAGTTAAGTGGGAGAAATACCTCACAAATCGCTCTGTAAGTTGCTGGACAAAACTGTAAATTTCAATCCAGTTCTTTGCCACACTCCCAGACCTGAAAAATGAAATTGAGCTGATCAGAAAAACAAGTATTTACATGGGGCCTCTCCTAGATGCAAAGTGGTGCTACAAGAATTAAGGAAGCCAACCCACCGTTGGGGACCACCTGCCTTCTAATTGTCTGGAGTAGGATCCCAGCTCTTTAAAACAAGCGCAGGGTATGCTAACCCTAGGCTTTCCCTAGCAGACAACCAGGCGAACTCGGGCAGCGTGAAGGGCTGAGGTCAGAGGGGCTGAGATTCTCGTCGGTGCCAGGGGCACAGAAGGCTACCCCCAGCGGCCGCACTTCCATTCCCCAAGAGGTCCCTGGGCTGCAGGCAGTGACCACCCCACCTCCCCTGAGCGTGGGGCACCTCGGGGCTCCTCCTATCGCCACCCCAGGCAGCAAAGATCCGAAAGCGCTCGCCCGACGCGCGCAGGTAACAGGGCGCCCACCGACGGTTCCTAACTCCCCTCCCCAGGGCGCACACGCGCCTCAGCTTCCCAGCCGCAGCCCACCCAATGCCACCCGCGCCGGAAGACACTGGCCCTCCCTCCGGCACTCACTTGTCCAGGACGAAGTAGAGATCAAAGGCACCTCTGCAGTTGGGCTGCTCCTGGG